AGGTCAGAAGGTGTTGGATCCCCTGGTCCTGGAGTGACAAGTGGTTGTGAGCTATCATGTGGGTACTGGAAGTGGAATCTGGGTCCTCTGAAAGAGTAGCATGTGCTCTTAACCATGGAGCCATCTCTAGACCCTCACTTCAAATTGTATGCTCCTTGTTACATTGTAGCTATCTTATAACCCATATAATAATTCAGTATTTTATTTATTTTTTATTTTTTTGGGTTTTTTGAGACACAGTCTCCCTGTGGCTTTGGAGCCTGTCCTGAAACTAGCTCTGCAGACCAGGCTGGCCTAGAACTCACAGAGATCCACTTGCCTCTGCCTCCCTAGTGCTGGGACTTAAAGGCATGCACCACTACCGCCTGGCTAATTTAGTATTTTTAAAAAATTTGTGTGCATGAGTATTTTGCCACATGCATGTCTAGTGCCTGTGCAAGTCAGAGGAAGGCATGGACCCCCTGGAACTGGAGATGTGAGCCACCATGTTGGGTCCTCTGAAACAGCAAATCCTCTTAACCACTGAGCCATTTCTCCAGCCCCAACTGAGCAGTGTTTATTTGGTGATTAATTGGATTGTTCACTTGTTTTGTACTATACTTTACTGAATTTATCTGTCAACTGTAGACTGGAAAGTATGTTTATATTTGCGTAGGGAGTAGAGGATGGAAAAAATGAGAACCAAATATAGTTCTTCTTAGCAGAATTGCACTTGTCTTCTCGACACGGGTGATCTCGTTGTGTGAATGTCACTGTGTTAACACAAATTAAACGGTTGTGATTCGCTAGGAAGTAGAACCTGATGCAGTTGCGCCCTGTGACTCGGTCTGTTGACTGAAGCACCCTTGCTCTATGACACTTGAAGGACAGAAAGAAAGAAAGAGGTCAGGAAGCGTTGCCGAGCAAGATGCTGTCTTTGTAAAAGTGTCACAATCAGCCTGGACCCTTGAAAAAGGACCACGCCCGGTCTTGCTCCCTTAGTTGAAAGTGCTAGCCTGTCTCAGGACAGTCTTGTGCTATCAGGAGAGCCTGTACTGGATGGAGTGTGACCCTTGCCACAGTGTCTTAATGACATTGTGCCCGCTGACACTCACCTGTTTATTCTGTACGGTTTGTCTTTGCCAGGGGAATATGCACTGCATGGCAGCAATGGTGGCTCTGGGAACAATGTGGAGCAGATATGAGTGTTTGAAGTATTTACTAAGCCACTCATATCTTATGGGAAATGTAGACTTTGGTAGCAATCATTCTTTTGGTTTTTGTTTTTTTAAGACAAGGTTTTTCTTGTCTAATAGCTGTAGCTGTCCTGGAACTCACTTTGTAGACCAGGCTGCGTCATACTCACTGGAGTTAAAGGTGTGCTCTACCATTGCTGGGCCAATCCTTTCTCTTTTCCCCTCCAGGTCCTGGGAATTAAACCTAAGAGCAACCACCTTTTAAAAAGAACCATGGAGTACCTGCCAAACTCTATAAACAGTGTTCATTTAGATGATGGCTGTCATTGAGTCCATATTACTGCAATAACTCCAAGAAAAACATTTGTAGATAGGGTTAGAGGGGGGATTTCTAGAACAGTTTAATTATTTTGTTGTAGGTGGGTGGTCTTACTGTGTAGCCAAAGTTGGCTTCTACTCTCTACTGAGAAACGGTTTAATGTTAAGTAAATAGGGTAATGTCTTAATGTTACTTGCTTTAAGTTTCCGCCTTCTGCCTTATAACCTAAATGAGGTAAGGTCTGGAGAATGGACCCTTAATAGTAGAGTGCTTGCCTAGCCTGCACAGGGCTCTGGGTTCATCCCCTGCAAAACACACACATACAGTGAATCTCTTTAAATTTTTTTCCAGCCAGGCTAGGTGGTGCTTGCCTTACATCCCGGTACTCGGGAGGCAGAGGCAGGTGGATCAGTATGAGTTAAGGCCAGCCTGGTCTACAGAGGGAGTTCTAGGACAGCTGGGTCTGCCACTCAGAGAACCCCTGTCTTGAAAAACCAAACACGGGGAAAAAAATTAAAATAGTTTTCTTTAAAATAAAGCTGAAGTTGTTGGTATTGTAGCCATTATGGAAGTCTGAAGCCTTTCCATAAAGTTGAAAATTTGGAGTGAGTCTGAGCCCAAACTTTACAGCTCTCTTACCGTTTACAGGCTTTTAAGGACAGTATAACACGCGAAAGTAAGATCATCATTATTAGATGGCAAGTAGTTTTATTTTATGAAGAATGTAGCTAGCCCCCAGCATGGGTGAAATGTGTTCTTTCCTTATGCTGACATTGGCACAGTGCCTGTTTATTGCAGTATTGCTATCACAGCTGCTGGGAGCCATGGCTCGGGCCTGCCTGTGATCCCAGCCTTCAGGAGGGATGTGAGTTCAGAGGGGAGCCCTGTTCAAAGAAACAAACTTTCAAAAGAAACCGTAGCTCGTTACACCACAGTTAAGAAAGGCTCTATGAAAACTTCTCTCACGTAAATACCAGACGTGTGCACACGAATAGCAAAGACATCAGAGAACATACAAAAGTATTTTCTGAACTGCCATTATGTAGTTGCTGTTATCAGGAAGGCATGGAATAGTTCCTCTGTAAGGAAGGAATGGACTCAGGTATAAAAGTCTGAAAAGGAGCCTTGGCTTGCCGCATGACAGCATGCGTTGTCTGATTCCCCGCAGGGTCGGTCTGGCAGCTACTGGTTCAGGTAGATTAATGAGTGCCGAGATGTTGGTTTGGGGCTGTGAGTGCTACTTCTGTGTACAAATACTTTTTCTGTAGTTATTAGCGCACAATCACCCCAAGCAACGGGGCCTGATTAGAAGGCAGAGTTCAGTGACCCTTCCCTTCCACATGCCATTGCGCACAAGAACTTGGTTGCTGTTAACTTTGATAAAATAATCACATTTAAGCTTTTTGATAGACTTGGAAAATAAGGCCATGCTTTTCTGCATAGTGAGATTCCTGGTGTGAGATATCCTCACTGCTTTTAATAAAACAACGAGAAGTGTAGCTTCATGTCATCTTACCAGGAAACAGTTAAATAAGAACCTTGAATGTAAGCTCTACTTTACACTTGGACAAAAATATATGAGCCTTTCATTTCAAGGGGAAAAGCATGCCAATTACCAGTTGTAGTTTCTCTTCTTTTGATATTCTCTCCCATAGCCACACACATGCACACACGCACACACGCACACACGCACACGCACACACCCCGGTATCAGGAAGCGGGTATTTATAATATTTGGTGTGTGCATTTTGATATTCTCCCCCATAGCCACACACACACACACACACACACACACACACATGCACGCACACACACACACACACACACACACATGCACGCACACGCACACACCCCGGTATCAGGAAGCGGGTATTTATAATATCTGGTGTGTGCATTTTCAATACAGCAGTCTCATGGTGACTTGATACTAACCCTCCCAGACTCTCTGGATTTGAAAAGTCTTTTGAATTGATACTTGTTGATAGACTAAAAACCACGAGCTAGCTCACTAAGTTCTGGCTGTGGGAGGCCAGGTGTGACAGGTTCCCAGCAGCAAGGTGTGTGGGAGGACTTGGAGAGCACCAAAGTCATTATGGCTGCGCAGCAAAGGGAAGCCTTCTGGAGTGCCGAGTCATCAATGTTAGCCAGCAGAGGGGCCGTTCTGTTGCCATCAGTTTCCAGCATATTCTTAGCATGCATGTCCATTTCCTTTTCCTGTTAGTGACCCCAACCTCCATCCCCACCCCCAGCCCAAGTTTCCAGGCACTGAGGGGTTTTAAATGCAGTGTGAAGATGAACTCAGTGCATTTCTTTGGACACTGTCTAGTAATCCATCTTTTCAGTATCACGAATAGTGTGGCTGCAGAATAGCTCAGTGGAAGGCTTGCCTAGGAACTATATTCAAGGCTTTGAGCTTCAGCACTCACCAAGAAATGGGAACATTCCGAGAAAAGATTGAAAAACCATGTAAGAGATAAAAGATGAGCTATATACATTCAAAGTATTCTCATACTTATTTAAGACACATCACAGGAGAAAGCATCACATGACACATGAATGTAAATCGATTTAAACTTTGCTGATTAAAAACTACAGCAACAGCAACTTTTTTTTTTTTTGAAAGAAATATACTGATAGTAACAGGGAATACTAAAAAAAAAAAAAAAGGGGGGGGGAGAGGAGAATTTCCCCCCTTGTTTTCAAAAAAATCTTTGTCACTAAGTACATATTTAAAATGAGGGGAATGTGTTTTTAAAGTAGCTGCCACCTTGCAGCCTCTGTCAGTAGCATGCCCAAGGTTTCAGTTGATCCAGGGTGAGATTTACTGTGAATGGAGCAGGTTGATATGGGAGCCTCCCCCTAACCCTCCTGCATTAGGAAGACACAGGCAGTGAGCTTTTACAAATAATTATTAAATATTACCAAAAGCTAGTTAAAATTGCTCTCCAGTCATTTATGTGAAAATGCTGCCTTTCAATTTTATTATAGCCTTTTTACCATGTGACATTCCATATAGTGACCCCTCACCTTTCGGATTGATAGACCCCTTGAATTGTGAAAATGACCCAGATTGTTTGAAGACTTTAAATGTAGACACCTCATAGTGTAGTTCTGCTGTTTTACAGCTAGATAACTTGACATTGGAAACCTACTGTAAATCCAGGGCTTTTCTATCTGTGTAATTACTTTAAGATGGGTACCTAATGACTGTAATTATTTCTGTTGCCCTTGTTACCTCTAATGGAGTAAATACATCTGTGGTTAAGGCATTCTGTGCTGAAATACTGGTTTGCTAAATCCACAGTTAATAAAATGGTAGAGCCACAGGAAAGGGAATAGTTAATCGTGGAGGAGGAGGGACACAGCCCAGTACTTTGCCTAGAGGCCGCTGGGAAAGTGACGTCCTGTAGCATTTGCTGTTCTAGAAAGTACAGAGACACGTAGTGAGAATGGGAGGGTCTAGGAGGAGGCCGTCTCGGTGTGGGGTGTATTTATCTGTGAGTGAGCTTCTGGGGAGGAATTAAATAGAGACGCTGCCTGCTGCCTCCAGACAGCTGAGCCGAGTCGCTGATTGCTTTAACTTTTAAGACATTCAGCTTGCCTGATTTTCTCAGAACCATTGTATTGCTAAGACTGGAGACCCTGTTTTCTTTTACAAAGGGAAATCTAAGTTCATTTCAAGGCATCCGAAATGGGGAAAGACTATTATTCCATTTTGGGAATTGAAAAAGGCGCTACAGATGAAGATATTAAAAAGGCTTACCGAAAACAAGCCCTCAGATTCCATCCGGACAAGAACAAATCCCCGCAAGCAGAGGAGAAATTTAAAGAGGTCGCAGAAGCCTATGAAGTACTGAGTGATCCCAAAAAGAGAGAGATATATGACCAGTTTGGGGAAGAAGGTAAGCTGCACATTTCTGTTCCTTTACCCTGAATCTTACCCTTTTCTCTCTCAACCTTCTGGTTATCGTTGAATTAGATGGTCAGGCATACCTGAAATGAAAAGGGAAATAACCGATTAAAATCAAGGTTAATTCCTGATTATTTGAGTGAGCTATGAATGAAGTGTTCATGTTTGTCTTTTTTTTTGAATAATACTGTGTTATACATAGTCTACTTTTAGACTTACAGTTTTAGCATCTTATATTTAAAAAGAAATCTTAATTGAATTCCTGAGCTGAGGAATGAATTGTTTAAAAGTCTTATGCAACCTGTGTGTGTGTTTAGTGGATTTTTTTCCCCCAAATTAATAGAGTCATCAGTCATCTAAATTCTTAAGATTGGCAGTTCAGATTCTGGGTCATTTATATTTTACTCAGAGAAACGAGTAGTTTTTTTTTTTTTTTTTTAAACCCTTTTAGAGCAAAGGGTAGTTGAGACGGAGGGAGACAGAGTCGTGCGTCTTAGATGCAGAAGTCACAGGCATTTAGCGTCTAGTTGTTGTTGGCAATCTGCCTAGAGGAGAGAGAATTTCCCTGATGTCATAAAATACCAGACCAAGTTTATTAGCTTAATTGTAAACAGTATTTGAATGCCAGGCAACAAAGATCTCATAGGGTTTTTTTTTTGCTTGTTTGTTTTGTTTTGTTTTTGTTTTTGTTTTGTTTTTTTTTTCTTACCTAAAATGGCCACCTAGTTAGAGCAATGACTGGTTTTCCTTTAGTTAACTATCCTCCCAGAAATTTCCCTCTCTGTGGGAAGGGAAAGCGTGGCAGCCTCCCGTTTCCCTCAGCCATCCTTTTCCCCTTGCCGTCCTTCTGAGACTAGACCTTAGCCAGCTCAGGGAATGGGGGACCTTTGAGGGTCTCCTCTTAAGTCACCGTGGACCCCAGCCTCCACGAAACGTGAACACGAAGTAGGACCTTTACATTGTCAGTGAGCAGCAGCTACAACTGCTCTAACTCATGTGAGTGTGGGGCTTCAAAATGTAAAACTGGGACTAACACACTCTTTCATTACTTTTCCCCAATGTCTTCCAAGTCGCCGTGGCTATGGGAAGTTTTGTTTTCCCTCTGTTTATAGCATTTAGACATCAAATTTCCCTAACTAGAAGTAAATCCTTCAAACGGAGCCACGGAGTGACCACTTGCTTTGCATTAAGCGAACTAAATTGGCAGTTCAGTGCCGCAGTGTGGAGGCTTTTTCCTCTTGCTTTATTTCGTTTTATTTTATTTTTCTTTGGTCAGAGAACCAAGAGTTAAGGTTTATGCTGCTACCGTTGGTGGTGGTCAGATGTATAGTATCAGGTTCTTACAAAGCGACTAATTGAAAAAAGGCAAGTAGTTGGACAGTCCAGCCTCTTTTGTCCCCCATGGTCACACTGGTGCTGTACTGGACTCCTCAGGAGAGAGCAGGATCTCATTCAGACATCACCAGCACTCTGGAGAATGTGGAGAAGAGGCTCTGACTTCCCATAAAAGCCCTTGTGTAAAGGCAGGCTGTGTGGTTGCTTCCGCCTTATGGACTGCCCAAGTGCGTCTCTGTTGTGACTAAGCCATTGGATTCAGGCTTGTTTAAACATGTTTGACGTTAGGGTTTTCAAGTCACCCAAATGGCACAGCTGATTCTTGAAGTACTTTTCTTGAGTATACTTTGGCATTACTTTTCTTGAGTAACACTCCCCTAATCCCCCCCACCCCCTAAGTACTCCCCCATCATTTAACTCATCATTACCAGGGACTTAAAGCTTCAGAAACTAAGTTATGACTGTGTGTGTGCCCTGAAGCTTTCTTATCCTTGGTGTCCTAAGCACAAAAAGGAGCAGGAGGCAGGACGTTGTCTTACAGCATGGCGGTGCTCAAGGTACTGTGTAGATGTCAGCTGTTTGAAAACCCAGGAGAAGGAACATCGTTGAGTTTTTAGAGTTCTTCCTTCACAGAACAGCGGTTTATTTATTTACCTTTTGGTAGAATACCACAGGGTTGTTTTAAAGCCCTTGTAGGGGCAGGAGTGTAGCTCAGAGTCAGAGCTGAGAGAGTGTGGGAGTGCTCTCAATCCTTAGCAACTTCCGCACAGAAACCGGTAGGTACCCTGTGTGAGAAGATGGGGCGATTCCTCTCTTTCCCCTTTTCTCATTGTCTGTGCTTAGTCCTGGTCCATAGGCCTCTCCGGTAGCAAGAAAACACTGAGTTGTAAAACTGTGGAAATACTAACTCCTGGGTAGCATACCCTTCCCATCCCATTATTACTCTTGGAGCTAGGAGATTAGAAATAAGGGACTGTGGCCCGAGATAATGCTAAATGTCTGTATTTAGGAATTACAAGACAAACTGACCATTAACCTTGTTTGTTCATGCTGTGAAACTCTTTTAACATTTGGAATTTACAATGGCTTTTTAAAAAGTGAATAAAACAACTGTGTCTTAAAGGCTGCGTTATCTAGTAGTTCTATTCCTGGGGATCTATAAAAGGAAAAAAAAAAAAAACAAAAACAAAATATTCTCTCATACCAAGACATGTGCCTGATTGTTCACAGCAGCCCCAGTGAGGGCCCTGCATCAGTCAGTCCAAAAGTCACATAGTTTAGCAAGTGGGTAAACAAAAGCGTGTGTCCCAGTGGGGTACTTTTTGGCAGCTGAAAGTACCTATTTAATAAAATATGTCACGACTGGAAGAGCTTTCAGAAATATGCTGGCTCAAAGAGCCCTGATAAAAAAGATTATACACATTATGTAATCCAGTTTATAGGAGATGTCTGGGAAAGACAGCTTTGTAGAGCTAGCTGAGCAGGCTGCCTGGGGCTGGAGGGAGAGGTGTAGGCTGTAAGAAGCAGAGAACACTTCAGGGTGGTGTCCTGTTCCACAGTGGATGTGGTGACACTTGTTAAACTTTGGAAGTTCATCACAGTTGACCTGCACATAGCCAGAACATTTGAGAGTAACCATGGAAGTACAGAAATGGAAGTTTAGACTGTGACATTTTCTCTGCCCTGAGGTTTTGGGCTGGGCTAAGTGGAGGTGAACACAAGTCTGTGTTCAGAAGTGAAGCTTGTTGGCCTGACCCCAGTCCCTGGGACCCGCGTGCTGGCGAGTTGTCCCCTGACTTCCGCATGCACACCATGTCAATATAGAAAAGTAAAATGGATAAATAAAAAATCCCCTCAAAGCACACCTTAGAGGGCTCTGTTTTCTAACAGCTTTGTTTTCTTCTTTCTTTACGCGGCCTGTTGATTGCCGCTTGCTAATTTTCTTCAGGCAGTTTTCTGTCTTTAAACTTAAGTATTTGGCGTATTAGCCTTCATCTAGCTTACTGATCCCCTTAATGCAGTTGTTTCCTATGCCCTAAAGATACATAGGTTTCTCGGGATCTTGTGGGTTGAGCTGTGCAGAGGCTTGTTCCATAACTCAGAAGTTTTGCTACAGACCACAGGGTTTCACACACTCCATCTCCTTGAAGTTAGAATTAGTAAACCCCACCACTTTCTCTGCAAATCCAGTGCCTCTCTAGCTTTTCTTCTGCTCATAAGTCTCTGTCAGCTAACTAATGGGAGCCATTGCTATGAGGGTGTCCCCCACGGCATTGTTTGCATATGAAGCTGGCTAGTTGAGTTAGAGCCCAGGCAGACGTGGAATGAGAGCCCCTTCCTTGACTAGGCGCTGCCTAGAAACATTTCAGAGCAGACTCCCGCGGTGGTTCTCCTATGGGAGCTGCAGGGGGTGTGATTAAGGTCCGCTTTCTGGTTGATGACACACTTATGACAGTGGAGTGTTCAGCAGAAGACAGCAAGAAGTCCGAGTCATAGCCCAGGAGCATTGTGGTAGGTTTTCTCTTGTTAAAGTACTTCATTCTGTATCTGACCCACATAGTTGACCGCTCTATGTCTAGGAAAATCTCAAGGCTGAATTTTTGTTGGCTCTGATGAGTAAGTCACTTCAGGCTGTGTGTAAATTTTCTCACAGACTATAGTACTGACTGAATTACCATTTTTGGGAGCAAGGGAAGAGGTTTCAGGGAAAAGCCAAACCTATGATGTAATACTGAAAATGTTATTTTTCCTTTTCTGTTATGTGTCTTTTAGAGAGCTAAGGGTAGGTGAGCTCATTTACCCAACTGGTAAGTTCCCATACTTTATGAAATCTACCGGAAAAGGGATACGGTTTGTTGAAGTTAAGTCCTCATTTAGTTACCTTGTTGTGACTTTGAGTTCTGTACTTATTCTATCATATATAAAAGTCTGTCATTAACTTTTTCACATTTAGCATTATAAGTGTATTAACAAAATTTATAAAAGGTAGACTGAATGAGCTACATGTGGCATTGCACTTCTACAAGCAAAATCCCAGCTACTGTGTAGATTTACCATTCATATTCCCTCTCTATCCCCAACGCGCGCGCGTGTGTGTGTGTGTGTGTGCGTGTGTGTGACTGTGTGGATGTGTGGGAGTGTGTGTGTGTGCGTGAGCGTGTGGGTGAGTGTGTGTGTGTATGTGTGGGAGTGTGTGTGTGTACGTGAGTGTGTGGATGTGTGGACGTATATGTGTGTGTGTGTGTGGGAGTGTGCCCGTGTGTGTCCTTTAATAATGGAAGCAGACTATAAAGTAAGATATTAAGGTATGAGTTTACAGACATTAAATCCCATGTTATTTTGCTTTGTCTTCTTTGGGCCCATCCTCAGAACACCTTCTTTAGTTTCACCTAGAAGGACTGTAAGAGCTAGCTGATTTTCTCCATTCAGTAGACTGGCGTGCCTATCATTTTCAACCCCATATTCATGAGCAAAACTTAGTAACATATTTTCCCTGCCCTCAGATTACTCAGTCTGGGATATAAGACTCTCCCAGTTTAAACCAGGTTCCGTAGTGCTGTACTCTGTGGTCAGGAACCCCTCTAAGGCCCCTCAGAGTCTTTGCCAGGATTGGCCTCCTAAAGCGTCACTTACTGTTTTGTGGGTCTTAGTTGAATCTTCCTTTTGGATGTGGTAGGAAATGCTGTGTCAAGTATATATATAAAATAGTTGTCAGCCACATGTTATTTTGTCGGACATTTGGCCAAAAGGTCACAGTACTGCTGTCAGACAGAGATAACAAGCCCAGCTTCCATGCTAAAAAGACCCGAGGCTCTTGATTTCAGTCCTGGTTTTACAGGCTTTGACTCAGGATGCAATAAGGTAGCCCTGAGAAGTCTTGCTATCTAAGATGATAATTATCTAATGTTCACAAGAGCGTTTCCCATACTGTTGTCTTTACTAGGACTTTCCCCCCTGCTGCTAAGAAATAGCTCTATTTAGTTCTTAAGCAGTAGAAGTCCTGGCTGGGGGCTGGAGAGCTGGCTGAGCAGTGAGGGCCTGGCTGTCCTCTCGGAGGACCTGGGCTCATTCCCCGGCACCCATGGCAGGTGGCTCACAACCTCTGTCTGTAACTCTAGCTGCAGGGATTTGATGCCTCTGGCCCTCATGGGCACCTCCAGTCATGTGCACATACCCACATGCACACACACGCCTGCACATAATTAAAATAATAAAAATCTTAAAAAAACCAAAAGAAATGAACTAAAGCTACGTAGTATGAATATGCTATTACTTATTGATTACATTAATTAGTTATCATGGCACTGAAGGGTTTAGATTCTTTGTGGATTATTAAATTTCTTTCAATAGACATCCTTAAAACTCTTAAATTTGTAATACTTCAGTATTCTGGGACAGTAGCTATTGATGTAAGGGATCCTCAGCTTCAGCTTCCTTTTATTTTTCCTATTTGTTATGAAACAAAGATTCAGAGAGAAATTATTATTAAAGCTAAAAATTTGCAGGACTGATTTGAAAGCTGTGTAACTGTTCTGTTTAATTGTAATGCTGTTTCCAACCATAGGTGATAAGTCAAATGTCATTAGCAATACAACTAGCAAATGGTCAACTGTCTGGAGTTACAACCCTTTTCCTAATGATGCTCGCCTCTCCCCCAGGGTTGAAAGGAGGAGCAGGGGGCACTGATGGACAAGGAGGCACCTTCAGGTACACCTTTCACGGAGACCCTCATGCCACATTTGCAGCCTTTTTTGGAGGTTCCAACCCCTTTGAAATTTTCTTTGGAAGACGGATGGGTGGAGGCCGAGATTCTGAAGAGATGGAAATAGACGGTGATCCCTTTAGTGCCTTTGGATTCAGCATGAACGGATATCCAAGAGACAGGAATTCTGTGGGACCGTCCCGTCTCAAACAAGACCCTCCCGTTATTCACGAACTTAGAGTATCACTTGAAGAAATATATAGTGGCTGTACCAAACGGATGAAGATTTCTCGAAAAAAGTTAAACCCTGATGGAAGGAGTTACAGATCTGAGGACAAAATTCTCACCATCGAGATTAAAAAAGGGTGGAAAGAAGGCACCAAAATTACTTTTCCAAGGGAAGGTGACGAAACACCAAATAGTATCCCAGCAGACATTGTTTTTATTATTAAAGACAAAGAACACCCCAAATTTAAAAGAGATGGATCAAATATAGTTTATACTGCTAAGATCAGTTTACGGGAGGTAAGTTAGTAGGACTGTGGTTCTAAGACCAAAGAGAAGTGTGCGCTGACTACTGATGGGAGCTGTCTGGCTCCTCAGTACCCTGCCTGGTTTATTCCTCATAACAGTTCTCTAGGAAGTGCTACTATTGCATCTTATGGATGACACCATAGTTGCTAAATTTAATCACTGATGTTAGTAATTGAAACACCAGTTTTAAGTACAAACTTGATTAGCTACTTCATGGCCCAGTGGTGGGTTAGCTCTACTCTGGTTTTAGGTTATGGCTGGTAAGATCTGCATTAGAAATTCTACCTCTTTAATCCATTTACACCAGTGTTTCTCAGCCTTCCAGATAGGTTATTGCAGCCCTTTGGTACAGTTCCTCATGTTGTAGTAACTCCCGACCATTAAACTACTTTTGCTGCTACTTTCTAACTGTAATTTTGATACTGTTATGAGTCATGACATAAATGTCAGTGAAAAGGCCTCCCAGCCACTCCCATGAGACGTTGTGACCCACAGGCTGAGAACCACTGGCTTACACAGTTCTGAAATGATTAGTTTGGAGAAGATTTCTATAACAAGTATTAAAGCAAGTATTGAACATCATGTATAATGCCATCGCTTTGTTACAGCCCTCCAGTCCTTACTTGAACTACTTCTCAAATTCAAGTGTGACCCATGACATGGTGTCATGTCCCTGTTTAAGTCTTAAATAGCTCAGTACATTCCTACCATATGTTTCATACTTGCTTAAAAGGTAGAAGTCTGGCTTCTACGCCCAAATATCATTTTCTTGCCCTGGATTTGATGTTACTACTCTGTACGGTTTATGTGTCAGAGCTACACTCTGATCACTCAGCGTTCATTTTGTTCCAGTGCCTGCTGCTAGCAAGCCTTGTTTAGTTTAGGTCCTTGGTAGTCCCAGTCAATAAGGAGATGTGTGCCCTTCCCGTCATGAGAGGCCTCTCCATACCTCTCTGTCCATGCTCTACTGTGTGCCCTTCCCGTCATGAGAGGCCTCTCCATACCTCTCTGTCCATGCTCTACTGTGTGCCCTTCCCGTCATGAGAGGCCTCTCCATACCTCTCTGTCCATGCTCTACTGTGTGTCCTTCCCGTCATGAGAGGCCTCTCCATACCTCTCTGTCCATGCTCTACTGTGTGTCCTTCCCGTCATGAGAGGCCTCTCCATACCTCTCTGTCCATGTTCTACTGTGTGTCCTTCCCGTCATGAGAGGCCTCTCCATACCTCTCTGTCCATGCTCTACTGTGTGTCCTTCCCGTCATGAGAGGCCTCTCCATACCTCTCTGCCCATGCTCTACTGTGTGTCCTTCCCGTCATGAGAGGCCTCTCCATACCTCTCTGTCCATGTTCTACTGTGTGTCCTTCCCGTCATGAGAGGCCTCTCCATACCTCTCTGTCCATGCTCTACTGTGTGTCCTTCCCGTCATGAGAGGCCTCTCCATACCTCTCTGCCCATGCTCTACTGTGTTGAAGTTACTAAATCCATGCGCATATTTCAGAGTTCCATGTGCATTTCTGGAGGGAAGGTCTTACTCATGGTCCCTCAGTAGTTCAGCAGGGCTATATGGCATCTAGTAAACACTCCAAGACAACTGCTTCTAGAAGAGTAGGTCTTGCTCCTGTTTTGTTCAGTTCTAAGTTCTTCCTTTTCTCTGATTCAGATCCCTGCCCCTTGAATATCGACAGCTTCAAACTGTTCACTTTCTGAGGCACTGTGAAAGATACCTACCCTCTGCTTCTCTTTTCTTCCTTCTTCTTCTCCTCCCCCCCTTCTCTGTCTCTGGTAACATCTGATTATGAAGCATTTTCTAGAACAGGAAGATTTTATAATTATTGTAACCCTTTTGTAAGTTAAAACGTCACCTTCAGGGTGTGTTACCCTTCACCACCCAGCACGATCTTATATTTTCCAGTTTGGAAGCTTTTCTTTAACTTTATTTTATGTGGTCCACTTTAGGCATTGTGTGGCTGCTCAATTAATGTTCCAACGATGGATGGAAGAAACATACCTATGTCAATCAGTGATATTGTGAAACCTGGGATGAGGAGGAGAATTATTGGATATGGGCTGCCATTTCCAAAGAACCCTGACCAACGCGGTGACCTGCTAATAGAGTTTGACGTCTCCTTCCCAGATGCCATATCTTCATCATCCAAAGAGATCCTTAGGAAGCATCTCCCTGCCTCATAGAATGAGAAGAACCTTGCTACCCATATTTTGATAAGACACTCAAAATATGAGAGGAATGGCATTGGACGGATGTGAATTCTGTATAAAGATATGTAAACTCTTCTGAGGGTTCATTAAATTGCATGGATAGAGACGGGTCAAATAGACAAAGTGGATTTTTACAGTAGAAATGAAGAAAGTAAAACCACTCACTGTATTGTATTTCATTTCTCCCAAATCAGAAACTTTTAGTATTTCATTTGTTAGTGAAAGTTGGTTTTGTGGTCAGTAGATATACTTCTAGTAAAGTACTAGGTCATCCAAGTACTTTATCGCGTGTGTCTTTAAGTGATCCATGTGATAGACTCTCTTAGTAGAAATTAAAATTCTTACCTGTACATGTGATACTCGGAGGAGAGTAACAGCCAGGGTCACATGGAAACGTGGTCCAGGTCACCTTCAGAAGTGCTCTTTTGAGCTGTACCAGGAAAAGAAGGCACTGATGTATATGCTTCACCGTTGTGACTTCTCAAGTGTGCTGTTGCATTTCTCAAGAGCATGGTTGTGGTGTCCTTAAAGCAGCCCTCCTCATACAAAGAAAAGGAATGACATCCCAACAGCCCACATTACTGATGCTTTAGCAGCAGAGCATTTCAAATGGCCACCTGTACCTTTACGCAAGTTTGACTATATATCTTAAACTGAATACGATAGGCTCATCTTGTTGTTCATTAGGTTAAGATAATGTGTTTAATACTATTTGTTTTTAGAGAACATGCTGTTACCTGGCATTAATTTTCCATTTACAATCATCTATCCTCATAACATGCTGTATGTACCTTACATAATTTCCCTAAGAACCCTGAGCTGCCACTATGATGTTAAACCAAATAGGGACAGGGTAGACACTACAGCTGCTCATGGGTCATGTCACTACTAGTTGTTACGCCTATAAATATTTTACCTATTCATGTATATAGATTGTTTCCTAGGTGTTTTAATTTTTTAAATATATTTGCATTTAAAATGATTCTGTCTTCTGTTTTATGTCTTTCAACAGTGATGTTATGAGATAGGTTTCTTTTTTTGTAAAAACAACTCTCGAATGATACATATTCACACATAAATATACCTGGTTTCCTGGGCCCTATAACCCTTTTGGTAGAGTGTGAAGTTATTTAGATGTAAGTTATAGAAGGCATATATCTTGATACCTTGTGGCTTTATTGAAATAGATTTCTCACAACATAAAATTCATACTAACCCTAAGCATTCTCTTGGCGCTAGTGCCTGAATTCGGAGGCTCCTGCACACCACGTACCCCTCTCTGAGCAGGGGACGATGTCCCACCTCTTCATTCCCCTTTCCGTGTGTACAGTCGCGCACCTGTGCAGTCACTGTCGATTCCCTCAAAAAGCCCGGCCCCTCCCCGTTCTTCCCTTCAGATCCTGCACGACCAACCTGCTTTTGGTGATGGGTGCTTCTGTCCTGCGTGTGTCCTACAAACAGAATCAGTTAACACCTGGCTCTCTCATGTAACGTCATTCACTTAGCATAGCATTGCTTTCAGGGTCCACCCTGGCCTCATTGTGGTCACTTCATCCCTTTTTGTGGCAGATCATGTCCTTGAGTGGAGTACCGTTTTGTTTACCTTCTCATTGGTGTTTTAGACATTTGGGTTGTGTCTACTCAGTGATGACTTGTGTGGATAATGACTCTGAATGTCTGGGGGCAAATTTTTGTGTGGGCAGAACTGACTACACGCTCTGGGGTACATACTTGAGAGCGGAATTGTTGAAAATAGCTACACACATAACTTGCAAATGGAAAATTAAAAAATGCCAGAGAGTTGAGGTAATCGCAGTATCTCTATGAACATCATGAAAACTCTCACAAATATAACGAGCTAAGGCCTTGGGGTAATTGTTGTAGGTCACAGCCTTTAACTGTTAGGTTGTTTGTTTGTTTGTTCTGTGTGCGTTTCTTGTGTCTGTTTTGAGGTAGGGTCTTCCTATGCCCCCTTGGATGGTGTGGTACTCCGTGTAGCTCATGCTGGCTTTGAGTTCATGGCAGCCTTTCTCCCTGTCTCACAGGAGTGCTGGGGTGGCAGACATGCACTGTCCATACCTCGTCTGCCTCGAAGCAACAACTATCTTATGAGTAAACACTTTCTCCAAGGCTAATAAAGAGTGTATAAACATGAGTAATCTTCCAGCTACATGAGTTTTTGTTTTAAGTAGACAATTATTCTAGTAGAGTAGTATAACTATTGGGCTGGGCTGGAGTGGGGTTCAATGGCAGTGGTTGGACAAATTACACAGCTGTATAAATGTATAGGAAGCAATGCTTCAGAATGTGACAAGTGCCCAACTTCTATTTGTTAAATGTTGAATTAATAGCAAGTAAAGTAAATTTCTGATTTAAATTATGAGAGTCCTTTCTATTTCAAAAAATAAAAGTTCATTTTAGGGCCTGTAAAGAGGGCTCAGAGGTGCAGGCGCTTGATGCTCTTGCCCGTGGGACCCTGGTTTGGTTGCCACCACCCCCGTGGTGGCCCACAGCCATCTGTGACTCCAGTTGTGGGGACACTGGGCACTCAACATGCAACATCCTCTTACATCTCTAAAAAATGTTTAATTTACTAGTCCCTGTATAGCTAAGATAATTTTACAGTATAACAAATCCAGGAAAACTACTTTTTAAAAATGTTTGTTCTTTCTACAAAATGAAAGCATATGCTTTGTGTGTTAAAAGAACACACATATCCAAGCATGCTGACGGCTCGCCAGTGCAAGTGTTCAGTGTGGTCAGCGCAGTAGTTTAAGAACAGTCTTCTTAGGATGTCCCTGAGCAAGACACACACTGTTCCATCACACCCCTGCCCTCCACGTGGTGCTTAGCATCTCAGGGCCTTGAAATCATCAGGGCTTGGACGTCAGCATCAGCAACTCATCACTCGGGCCATAGCTAGTCCATCTTGGAAACAAGGTGTTGAACAAGCCTCTTGTTTATTTTTAGGAAACTGTCATTGGCATAGTTGTGATGGATAAAATGAAATTAGTGTAAGTGATTAGCCTCAGTAAATGGCCTCGATGGGGCTACTGTTCTTATATTTCAGGAATATTTCCCTCAGTCCCAGAGTCAAAGTGAACATAATTTTTGCTCAGTAACATATGATGTAGTATGGCTGTCTGTCTTCACAAACAGATGTGTGTGAGTGTGTGCTTTTAGGTAAACATGCATGTGTATATATGTGTGCAGATGAGCATGCATGTGTTTGTATGTGTGCAGGTGAACATGCATGCTGTGTGCAGTTTAATGTGTGTGTGTGTGCGTGCGCGTGCATGCGTGTGTGCAGGTGAAAATGCATGTGTGTCCACAGGTGTGTGGAGGCCACAGGCCAGTTGACCTTGCGCGTTCGTCTTAGGAGCTGTCTACCTTGTATTTTCAGGCAGGGTCTCGCATCAGCCTGGAACTTGCCAAGTAGACCGGACTGGCTGCAGTGCCCCAGGCATCCTGGTGTCTGTTCCCCAGGGCCAGGATTACACCATGCCAGTTTTTTATGAGTCTGGGGATCGATCCTTATTCTCACATGCCAGCACCTTCCTAACTGAGCCATCCCCCAGACATAAAGTAGGTTATTTTTACTTGTATATAATAATCTGAAAGGGTCTGTGGGACCCAGCAGGTGACTGCACTTCCTGCCAAGCCTCCTGACCTCAGCTGGCCCCTAGAACCCACAGGGAAGGAGGCCACAGACTGTTGAAAGCCACCTCCTGACGTCCTCACTCAAGCTGTGGCACCCACGCAACCCAACACAGTACATAAAACAGTAACATGATTTTGAAGGTGGAAGATGCTATGTGAAATGTGAGGGTAAATGGTGGGGAGGGAGGAGAAAAACTCATGCAGACTACCCAGAAAAGTTTGTAACACAGAGGCTGTGTTGCAGTGTGCCCGTGCAGCGACGCCTACAAATGAAAACGTGCTTGGCGAGCTGCAGCTGCTAGAATTTTGAGTTGAATGCTTGTGCTTATTGTCGTTCTTGAGAGGATAATTTTTCATTTGGTTTTTGAGATAATCTGTGTCTAGAGGTGATGCTGATCTAGAACTCAAAGCTGTCGCCCTGCTCTCCAGGGTTACGGGAGTGAGCTACCACACACCTCCGAGATAATTTTAAAACGGAAGCTAACGATTGGCTAAAGGAAGTGTAGTGAAGCAGGCTAAGAGTTCGGTTCTGAGTTGTTGGTGGGCGCGGCATTTGCTCTGCCCGTGGCGAATGCGGGAGGCTTTGTTCTGCTTTGCTTGCAGCCTTGGAGGTTGAACCTTGTGCATGCCAGGCAAAGCTCTCGACTATCCGCATTTAATCATTTCAACAGTTCAAAACAGAAAATGTGGACGGGAGCTGTGACTTGTGCTTGCCTAGCCCGATCAAGTCCTGGACTTGGTCCCCAGCACCACAGTAAACTGAGTGTGGTCACACATCTGCAATCCTAGCCCTGGGGAGTTGGAGGCGGAATGAAGGGGTGAGAGCTTCAGGCGGGGACTACATCGAGAACTCAGCAGGTGAAGTTTTGTAAAATGGACACAGGGAAAGTTAGTTTTTCTGAGTTTAACCTTTTATTGAAACCTTTTTCTTTTAATTTTTCTAAGTATTTATCTTTTATGTGGCATTTGGTAGTATCTATATTATAACGGTTTTAAATGTGTGTTTGGTTTTAAAGCAGTGGTTCTCAAGCTGGGCGGCTCACACCTTTAATCCCAGCACTCAGGAGGCAGAGGCAGGCAGATCTCTGAGTTTGAGGCCAGCCTGGTGTGCAGAGTAAGTTCTGGGACACCTAGGGCCACACAGAGAACCCGTGGGTTGTGACCCCCATGAGGGCCACACCTTCTAATTTTTTAAAAGATTAAATTTGTTCTTTGACAATTTCATAAACGTTTGTGATGCTTTCCGACCCTCTCCTCTCCATCCTACCACTGCTAAGGCGCCTCTTCCCCACAGCCATGTGTTTTCACAAGGTTTACAGTGCTGAACATTGATCTTTATTTATTTACCTTTTTGAGACTGGGTCTTACTCTGTCGCTAGCTGTAAACTTAAGATCCACCAGCCCCTGCCTCAGCTTCCTAGGTACCAGGAGAGCAAGTGTAAGCCACGATGCCAAGCCTAGATTTAGAAACACAAACATCTACGGTTGTGTTAACTGTCTTCAGTGCAGCAATGTGCTTGCTGGTGTGTGTACCCAGCCTGGCTGCCTAGTAGGTTATCCATCTAGATTTGTACAAATACACCCTGATGTTAACACCACAGACTTGCCTATGGAAATGGTCTCAGAGTGTGTGAAGCTCTCTGAGTCACTTTTCTACCACCGTGACAAGATACGACGGTGAAGGAAGCTTCTGGAAGTTTATTGTGGGCCAACAGTTTCAGAGGACTAGAGCCCATTGCCATCATGACAGGTCAGACGGCAGCAAGCAGGCAGGCTGGCAGGCATGGCATCAGAGCAGTAGCTGATAGCTTACATCTCAGTCCACAAACTTGAGGCAAATAGTAAATGGGTGTTTTATTAGGGAAGAAGTTGCGCAGATAAGACTGAATAACAGCTGCGGTCTTCCTGCTCCCGAAGATGTGGTCTCTGCCCTTCTGATGCTCTCCAGATCCAAGAGTGTGCATGTGCCTGCAGCTCCTCCACCTTACAGGGGTCACCTCTACACCTGAAACCACGCCCAAAGGGTGTGGCAGGGCAAGATGCCACACAAGAGTTAACAGGGAATGGCTAGCCTTCTGAGACCTGACCCCAGAGGCACACCTCCTCCAAAAAGGCCACACCTCGTAATCTTTTTTAGACAGTTCTACCAACGGGGGGGGGGGGGGAACCAAGGTTTCCAAACATATGAATGTGTAGGGGCTGTTCTCTTTCAGACCACCACACAAGCCATACATGCATGTACATACTGTGCACGGTGGCGTTGTGAGGGGTTTTGGTGGTTTTGTTTTGTGATTTTGTAAGAACACAATCTCACACTATC